GGGGTCAGCGTGCCAAGAGGGGGACCCCCCGCCGGGGTCAGTGTGCCAAGAGGAACCTCCCCGCCCCCACCCCTGCCGGGGTCAGTGTGCCGAGAGGGGGACCCCCCGCACCCACCCCTGCCGGGGTCAGCGTACCGAGAGGAACCTCCCCGCCCCCACCCCTGCCGGGGTCAGCGTGCCGAGAGGGGGCCCCCCCGACCCCGCCGGGGTCAGCGTGCCAAGAGCAACCTCCCTGCCCCCACCCCTGCCGAGGTCAGCGTGCCGAGAGGGAACTGGAGTTAAGGTAGCTGTGATCAATGCAGCCCCTATGTTGTGCTCTTTTACTCCTTCTCCCAATTTTTCCCTTTGGTGTATTTTGTTTAGATGCCCGGCCTGTTGGGGCCTCCTCTGCAGATGCCCAAAGGGTCTTAACTGCTGGTTTTCTTATCTGGCCCACCCACCAGAAAGCCCTTCCAGGTCGGGTCCCCCTTCCAGCCACACAGCACAGCCTGGAACAGCCTGGAACAGAGTGGCTGCTTGGCAAAGGTGTAGGGGGCAGATGCCGGTGAGGAGGAGACCCCGACTGTCTGCTCTTGGGTAGGAAGTGCCCCCTGCCAGCCTCCAAGATGTTTTGTACAGAGAAGCGATGAACACCCCCACCTCTGTGGTGTCTTTCCTCGCTGGTAAGAGGGGAAGGAGAACGGTATTTATGGAGACCAATTTGGCAATATCCGTGGAGATCGTCCTGTGCACCACCCTCTAGCGCTGCCGTGTTGTCCCCGGCAGCTTGCCCCTTAGGGCTACACGGGCACACGGCTCACGTCCACAGACGTGCCCTGCTTCGTTATTTGTAACCGCGTGAAAACAGCAAAGCTCGGAACTTAAATACTCATGAACAAGCAAAAGGGTTAATAAGTTAGAATGCATACTTTAAGGCTTTAAGAAGTCTTAATCAAATTTCTGTCCACTTAATGATATTGGGAGAAGTGTACTAACTACAGCTAAGTGGCCCGCACCAGGTGCCGAGCACGCACACGCACGCACATGCTATGCACACACATGCAGGGACAATGCACAGGGCTTTCCCAACAGCTGTTACCTCCTCGCTCCCCGTACAGGACAAATGGGGGTTTTGACCTTTCATTTATAGTTCTGTTTGATTTTTTAAATGACATCTGTTATTTTCATAATAAATAATAAAAGTTTAAAATTCTACCTGTATGGGGAAACATGGGTTTTGGTTTTCACAGGTCAGCTGGCAATCAGCTCCTCCCCCAAATGCAGCTTTGCTGGTGCTCTGAGGCGTGAACGCAATGTCGTGATCAATATATTGCCCCCACACCATCAGGAGATCAGAATATTGGTCATCCTCTGTGACGGCCTCGTTGGGAACTTGAATGACTTGTCTTGTCACCTCCCGGACCTGATGAGAGAGACCAGCCTGTCATGCGGGATGGACATCTACAGAGAAAGAGGACACTGAGGGATCCTGAAGGTCGGGGACACTTGCTCAGGGGACGGGGAGCCCGCAGGCCAGGGCACTCACTCAGGGGACAGGGAGCCATCCGTGTGATAACGGCCATGATCAGAGGGTGGGCCCCGGGGGCCAGGAGGGCTGTTCCCAGGCCTGGACATGTTTGCAGGTGTGATTACTGTAAGGACCCTGAGACAGGGGTTCTTCAGGGGTTCTAAGTTCTGGGGTTCCAAGTTCTGGGGTTCCAAGTGGATCCAATGCAATCGCAGGTTCTTAAAATCTGAGAGCCTCTCCTGCCTGTGGTCAGAGGGGATGTGGCTTTGGGGGTCCGGGAAGAGGCTCTGCTGCAGCCCCGCCCACACCTGGTCATAGCCCTATGAGATCCACGTCACACTCCTCACCTCCAGAACTGGAGGGTGGGAACATTGAGTAGTTTCAGCAGGAGCAGAAACCTAACAGCCCGCATGAAAGATTTCTGAGCTTCGATTGCTCTAAGTAGCTGTGTAATTCTGGCAAATACGGGTTTACAGATCCTGATCCCTTAACTCTGAGAATTCAGAGAGCCTCAGGGCTTGAACAGGCATCTAGCAGGATGGGAAAGGTATTCCAAACTCATTTAGGGACAATCGAGTGGAGGCTGAGAGTGACCTGCAGAAATGTACGGGGACAAGCGCAGCTGGAGGGGCCTGTGCTGCCCCACTAGGCCCAGCCACCAGCTCCCACGCTGCTCCCAGCTGCGAGGAGCACCTGTCCTGCTCAGCCACGGTCTGGAAGAACAGCCCAGGAAGCTGATCCGTAGAGAACCTGGGGACAGGGTACCAGCCCCAAGCTGGTGTGGTCAGATCCTGACTGCTCACGCTGAACAGAGCGTCACGGTCGTATTTCTGGAGAATTCCATTGTCTCACGTAGTACAAGACCAGGCAGACTGGTTTATTGATGGAAGCAAGTAGTCAAATTGAGGGCAAAACATCCACTTTTTAACCAAATTCATCAGTGGATTGGATATGAGTCTGCTTAGCAAATAATTTGCCTCTGGGAGTAAAGCGGCAACCATCATTTTGCATAAATGAGTGAATTACTTAACTGGTAAGTATCTTTGAACACACATCATCCTCTGCCTATGGGTAAAGGAATTTATTTCAAAATGCCAAAATGAGGGGCACCTGGGTGGCTCAGTCGATTAAGCAACTGACTCTTAGTTTCGGCTCAGGTCGTGATCTCGGGGTCGTGATTTCAAACCCCACATCGGGCTCCGGGACCAGCAGGGAGTCTGCTTGGGATTCTCTCCCTCTGCTCTTCACCCGCAACCAAATAAATAAATCTTAAAAAAAACCCCAAATACCGAAATGATTGTGAAGAGCAGAGAGTTGGACGAGCCTTAATCTAAATCTGCATCGTCCCAGTCACTGGCTGGTGACTTGCATCGCTCCGCACCTCAGCTCCCAAGCTGGCGAGCACAGGCTCTGGGAGGGTGGAGAGGACCAGGCTCTGTGAGCACGCCGCTGGGCACTCCGCCCTGAGCCCGGTCTCGGCAGCAGGCTGGCGTCCTCCAAGACGGCGGCGTCTGGCAGCGCCACGGGGACCGGGTTCCAACGGAGCTGGCACAGTGTGTGGAGGCACCTACCGGGGGCAGTGGGAAGCCGTTGTACCGCAAGTGGGGGTTCCAGCCTCTAGGCTCACTGACCCCGTCTTCGTAGGCGGGTGGCAGCCATCGCGCCAGGGCTGTGTTGGAGGCTCCCCACCTGGGGTGGTCTCTGTGGAGACAAACGTGAGACTTGCAACCCCGAGATAGCCTACATTTGGAAAAAGATGATAGCTGAGTGAGAACGGAAATATCAGTTCAAAGAGCCAAATGAAATGGGAATTTTCTGTTAGAGAAAAATTTGCGTGTGTGTGTGTTTTAAAGGATAATTTGGACGTAAAATCGTTACAGTGTTCAGGTCCCCTTGGCATTTGTCAACCAAATCACATGGGAGCACCCAGCGGGGGCGCTTGACGGCCGTTGCAGGGTCTTTGCAAAGAAGTGTGCGCGAGGCCAGTTTGGAGGCGTGTGGTCAACAAGTGTCTGGGCTCGGGAGGCCACACGGCCAAAGGGTTAGGGTTGGAGAAGATCGGGATCTAGACTTCTCAACAAGTGTCTCATGCATCCGATGTGTAGACACTTGGAACACCTAAGATGCGAAGTCTAAGAGATTCATGACAAGCTGAATGATTTTGTAAAGTTTTTGGAGTGTTGAGAAATATAAATATTTAAAAATCCGTTGCTTTGTTTTGACACGTTATGGTCACGATTAAGGAGGCTACATACGTGGATCATTCTTCCATAAACGTGACTGATTTAGAAGCTCTGCTTGACGGTAAAAGGAACCGTGAGCTACCCAGGGAGGCTGCTAGTCTGGACAACCAAGAGTCCGCACATCTGGAGGCGAGACGCAGCTTTGGCCCCCGTGACAGACTGAACAGACCACGCTTCTCCTAATGGTGCCACACGGCTCTGGACGTAGGGAAAAGGACTTTCCTGCTGCATCACTCATGTCGCCACTGCCCCTCGAGGAGCCCTCCCGAGGGCCTTGCTAGCAGGAGGCGGGATGGGGACTTCCGTGCGTCTGCAGGGGCGGTGGGTGGGGGAGAATCCTATTATCCATCCTTCACTGATCTCCAGCGCACCATCGTGGCTCAATTTGTAGAATGACATGGGACAGCAATGCATTTAATTAGCGCCCGTAAGTCAGCGTGGGCAGATTGGCGTGTGCGCTCACAGAGTGTCAGATTCGTTACAGTTGGTTTCTCTTTATTGAAATTCCACTGCTTGGGGGGAGGTGTAATTTCACTCCATTAAAAATAATGAAATATTCTTGTAACTGCTTAGGCCATGATTTTTTTGCTGACTGACTTTATATTTCAGTAGCTTGTAGGCTGTCATGAGAGCCTGTGGCCCTCGCCTGTCTTGTGGACACTCGGCAAGGGTGTGCACTTGACCTTCCCAGCCAGAGCCTCAGCCTGCCCAGCGGGAACCCAGGACAGAGCGCGGCCTGTGCCGGGGGTGGTGTTCGGTGCCATCCGGAGACCTTCTCACGGCCTCCCCACAAGGCATCCAGCGTCGCTCCCGTGTCAGAAGAATCTCTGCCGCCATGGGATCGACCGTTAGCTCCAAATCACTTGCTTATTAGTGTTGGGTTCTGGGCCGCGGGAGGGAAAGGGTCATAAGCTGACGGAGTGAGCGGGTGGGAGCATTTCCGGAGGAGAGGTTACAAGGACACAGCTGTCTGGGCTGTGATGTTTGGAAGTGCTAGCGCCCCTCCCCGAGGCTCCGGCACCCTGGATGCCGTGACACCCCGGGTTCTAAAGAGAGAGGCAGGTCCAACTACCAGCCTGACCAGGGCGTGGATGGAAGTCCACAGTGGATGCTGGGAGGCGCCGGTGGGTGTCCTCCCGGCCACGGACGTGGGAGCACCGGGACTGCGTGGCGTCTGCTTGAGGAGATGCAGTGTCACCAAGTGTCTCATGCTGGGGGAACCACGATGGAGCTTTGACCTCTGTGGCAACGAAACCTTTCCACACCCTCATCTGCGAGTGGTGCACACGTGGGCAGCAGGGCAGGGGACGGGACACGCAAACCCAGACAGTCCCCCCGTGGCCCCAGGACCTAGAGTGGCTCCTCCCGTGCCCGATGCGCTGTCCGTCAGCCTGAAGCATAAGAAAACTCAGCCCATGGTGCGCGGGCCTTGGGCTGGAGCTCCCTGATTGTAGGTGGTGCAGACTCGCGAGTGTGTGGTTGATCAATGCGGTGCTTTTCCATCATGGGCATGGACTCGATATGCTCCAAGAACTCTGGAAACGTCCCTAGTCTGGCATCATTCGTACCCGTGTTATGGTCCACGTATGTCAGGCATGAAACCCACACCAGCAACATCTACTTTTCTACGAGCATCCTGGGGCCTCAGGGGCCGCATTCACCTGTCAGGGGTTCTGTTTTGTTTCAGTTCAAGCATCAGTATTGTAAACGACCTTAGTGTAGCTTGAGCTCTGTTGTCTGGTGGCTACAGTTTGAAGCAGGTTAAACACAGGCCTCCCTACGAGAGACCACCATGTGAAGGACGTCCACTCCAGTAAGATCCACAAGCCGTCACCTCTGCCAGATGGTTTCATGAGTTACGTCAAACCACAAAAGAGAAGAAGCAGTGAGTGTGGATATGACCCTGTGGCAGGTGTCCTGATGGAAAAGGGAGCCGGTGGGGGAGTCTGCAGGTGCTGGTGGACATAATGCCTGTTCACACATGTTTGGAAGACCGATTCCACATTTAGTTTGGGTTTTGACAATTGTTTCAACAAATTAATGCAGAGAATTTTATATACACCAAATTAAACACTAAACCCAGGTAGGTCAGGGTTCTGCCTATAACTCAAATGCATGAATCAGATTTTGCCTTCAGAATATATCACTTCCTCTAGGCGCTCATGGGTTCTGAGGTCAGAAATTCTCCCAGGATGAGGCTCCGCACAGAATCACCACATAACGGAGATGGGTCCCATTCCGCAGCCCGGACGGCTGTTCCCAGTCCGTCTCTGTGTCCACGCAGGATGTCCGTTTGGCAGGCCTGGGCATGAAGCAGATGAGTCCAGTGACGGTCGGTGTCTCTGTCACCGTGTGGATGGAAACGTCATCTGCAACCTCCATCCGTCTGGTGGGCGGGTTAGAGGCGGTGAGGGCCAGGCTTGCGAGCAGTCATCGTCAATTTGACGTTAAGCCTGAGCCGGGAAAATTCTGCTGTAATTTTGAGATTCAGCCATCGCCACAGACGAATACATCACAGCTGCCCGATGGTGGGAGCCTTGCTCGCAGGAAAAGGCACATGGAATTACATTTATGGTCCTCCGTGGCTAATGCCTTGGGCCAAGATCCAAGAGGTGAGATACTGTCTGGTCATTCGTGGGGAAAATCATGGCAACACTTACAGTATCAGGATTGCAGACTGCATGAAAGGACCTTTAGACATTCTTTCTCTCAAAAACCAGAAACCGCTCTGCCAGGTAAGCATCCTTCCCGTTCACAAGGCAGAAACAGGGCCCAGAATGCCGGTGAGAGTCATCAAGTGGTCACTGTCACATCCAGCAGCCCCAGCAGAGATCTGAGTTTACCGTAACAGATGAGAGCCGCACGCATGCCCACACACTCAGGCCTGGAAAACCCGGGCGGGTGTGGGGACCTGAGGAGCCACCGGGCAACGCTCCCGAGAGCAGAGTAGGGCCCCCGCAAACATGCACTGCACTTGCTTCCACGCATGCAAAGCCCTTGTAGTGCCAATCACATCCGACAAACGAGGAAGATGGTAGATTGTAGAAATCCTTCTTTCCCACTTCCATTAACTGATGGCGCGGGGTGATCCCAGCACTTGGCATATTCTCAGTAAAGGGAAAACGAACATGAGAAGCCACATCCCACACCTGGGACGCCCACCCATCACCCCACTGCAGGAAAACTAGCAGAAATGGAGGCGTCTTGGGCGCCTGGGTGGCTCAGATGGTTAAGCGTCTGCCTTCGGCTCAGGTCATGATCCCAGGGTCCTGGGATCGAGCCCCGCATCGGGCTCCCTGCTCCTTGGGAGCCTGCTTCTCCCTCTGCCTTTCTCTCTCACTCTGTCTCTCATGAATTAAAAAAAAAATCTTTAAAAAAAAAAAAAAAGAAATGGAGGCGTCTTTTCAATCCACCATTTGGAAATTCAGAAGTTATACAGTTAAATTCCAAGTCACATTTGGCTTAAAGATAGAATGACGGCCAACAGCAGTCAATACGCAGAGCCAGACCCCTTGGTCCTGGCAGCAGCAACCAGGTAAGAAGTGACGCCGTTAAGGAAGAAGAAGAAAGCGGAGAACAGCCCACGGTGCGTCCCTGTTAGAGTCTAGAAAAAAGGAAGTAACAAGGAAACAACCCCCCCCAATCAAAAAGAAATATGGTGAAATTTTAGTAAAAAATAGGCAGCATAACATGGTGGTAAAGACCAATATATCGGAGACTGAATTCTTGGAAACCGTGTAAAGAAGTCTGACCACTGGTGAGTCTCAAACGAATAGCAGTCCTAGCTTCCTGCTGGTCACAAACGTGCCTTCAAAACGGAAATAAAAGATCACACTCTAACCTGGATGCTCTAGAAACTCAGCTTAATAACCAGAACTATCCAGAAGGAAAATACACTTCCTCAGGTGAAAAATACGTGCCAGAAAGAAATACCCGTCCTGTCCTTAGTCCCTCTATCTGAACACACTGGGGTTAAACAACCCGGGGCACAGAACCTGCGCAGCGGGCTGGACCCAGGCTGCAAGAGCACGCGTGCACGTGGGAGCAGCCCCGAGCGGGGCATCCGTGCGCACGGAGAACTCCCCACTCTCCGCAGCCTGTGCCCCAGGCAGACCCCGTGCCGTCGGGGAGCGGGCGGCCGACGGAGGAGACAGGCCCGCCCGGTGGTGGGGGGCTTCCCCAGGGCTGGGCTGGATGTCCTGCCCCTGCGAAGGGACCTGGGAAGCTGAGCTGAGGGGCCCAGGCCCTCCCAGGGAGGGGGCCGGAGAGGGGACGCACTCGCTGGTGTGGAGTGGCTTTAGCAGAGTGCAGGAAGGCACCTTGATCATCTGGGAAACCCCACGTGTCCTGGATGATTTGGTCCACTCAAGCACCACCCTCTGTCCTGAAGCATGGACTGGACCACGTGCCCGTCTGTTGGCAGTAGCCCCCGTGAGCCCCGTGACCAGCCACGTGGGCGCCACCGTTTTGTTTCATTCTGAGATTCGTTCTGCGTTTCTGGTTAGTCCAGGAGTACAGTCATCATAGGACCTAGGCTTCCAACTGCAAAGCTCTCTGTAATAAAAATGGGAGCTAGTCCTGTTTATGCTGGACCCACTGGGGCCCGTGGTCCCATTCATCAGCTCTGTGAGGACAGGTCTGTCGTATTCCCCAGCATGTGTCACAGGGCCTGGCTCAGGGCGCTCAGAGTGTTTGAATAAATATAGGAAGGGAGGGAGGGAGGACAGCCATCTTTTTCCCAGCTCCCACCCCGGGGACAGGGCCATCGTCGTGCTGCCCTCCAGTAGCTGGGTGGCTCTGGTCTGGTGCAGACTTGTGTCCTGGGCCCCGTAGCCGTCCTCCACCCAAAGGACATCTGGGCCTCCTCATCCTTCTCAGGGTTCTGATCTCAGTCGAGCCAGGGTTCCTGGGCCTTCCCAGAACCCAACTCTAGGGGACACTTTGTGGGAAGGGTGGGGCAGCGTCGGGACACCCGCGGATGGAGTGGACAGGTGTCTAAGGGACACCTGCAGACAGGGTGGGGCAGCGCCCAGGGGACACTGGTGGATGCGGTCATGTGGGGGGCACCGCAGACGGGGTGGGGCAGGTGGGGTGGTCCTGGGCACTCAGAGGCGGGGGAAGACCCGGTGGTCTGCAGTCCCCCTTGGGATGGCCTCCAGCCCTGCTGGGGCCCAGCTGCCACCAGAAGACAGAGCCAGTCCGACGGAAACGCCCACCTGTTGTTGCAAGCGCCCGTGATGAGTCTGTACTTGCTGGTCAGGCAGGTGTCTGGACATTTGGGGGGTAGCATGTAGGGCAGGCATCCGGAGACGTTCGCAATTGTGTTCAGCACATCTTCCGGCAGGACGTCTGGGTGGAAACAACAGCACACTGACCGCCGTTCGCAATGACAAGCCTACCTGTGGCCGTGCACGTGGTAAGGAGGTCTCAGACGGGGCCCCAGCCTCCACACGGGGGACCCCCACACCAGCCGCGTCTCCTCCTTCTCCTTCAAGCCCGTCACTCCCCGTAATTCCCGCGCGCTTCCTCACTGAGAGGATTTGGGCCTTTAAAACCTATGTCTGCTTTGTGACCTTTCAGAAAAGCAAGTCAGAGCCCTGACCCCACCTGTGGGGCCGCGTCCCCGAGCGTCTCCGCAGTCTGGCAGCGAGGCCATGCGTCCAGCAAAGCTCGGTCCTTACCCTCCCCCAAGCCCGCCCGGTCAGCTGTGTGGGCAGCCTGCCTTCTCTCCGAGCACTGGCTTCTGGTTCCCTCCTTGCCACTCTTTCCAGGTTAGGCCCCAGAAAGCAGGCTTATCTCTATTTATTTCCCCAATGCTGTGGCTGTTTATTCAACAAATCAGAGCAAGGCCTGCTTTCTTGTGTGTTCCTAGACGGAATCATCGGTCACTTCTCCAAGATGGTTTGTACAAATCCTCCAGATAATGCCATAAAAACAACAGCCAGATACCGGTGAGGTTCAGACTCGCTAGAGGAACTCTGGAAAGAACGCATATTCCGTTCTAAGTCGGAGAGAAACCAGACTGGCCTCTCGGTGATGCAGGGAGCCGTGTCTGCCAGTGGCTCTGTGCGAGCAGCAGAATGACCCCGGGGCCGGGCTTCCCGTTCTGCCCACGGACGAGCACGCACTCCTCATGAGGCTGAGCACAGCTCCCTCCTGACAGGATGTGCTCAGGCACCCATGGGAGGAAACTGGGTCCCCTGCATGGAGCCATATACTCTCACAGCTGCACAATGAACAGAGGCAGGGCCAGGAAGGAGCCCGGAAACTGGGTGCCCGCACACGGCTGTAGATGCTTCGCGCTGACGAGGTCACAAGGCCACGTGTACTTGCCAGGATCGCTTTTCTCACATTGCACGTTGTCCACTCCTGTCCACGTTGTTGACAACGGAAACCTCAGGAAACTGCATAAATCAGTTGGTTCTTCGGTTCTGCATGTTGGGCTGGACCAAACCCCCAGCCTCATCTCCCCAGGCACCTGCCTCCCCAGAGCTGAGCAAGGGCACTGACCCTGGAGCAGGTACTGGGGGCTGGGGGTCCGCGCACGCACGGCCGGCCTTAGAGCCCTTGCTCAGCCCCACAGTTTGAAACAAAACCATGTCTGATGAACCGTTGGTTGCTATGAAGTCAACTGAACCTGCTAAGTGTGGTATCTGAGAATTCTGGTGAGTCCTGACTTGGCTAAGCCTGTCTTACTCGAAAGGCTAACTAGGAAGCGACATATCTATACACAGTGGAATATTGCTCAGCCACCAAAAATAATGAAATCTTGCCTTTCCCAATGACGTGGATGGAGCTGGAGGGTATTATGCTGAGTGAAATAAGTCAGTCACAGGAAGACAAACACCGTATGATCTCACTCATGTGTGGAACTTAAGAAACAAAACAAATGAACGTAGGGGAAGGGAAGAAGAGAGAGGGAAGCAAAGCGTAAGAGACTCTTAACACTAGAGAACAGAGGGAGGGCTATTGGAGGGAGGTGGGGGGATGGGCTGGCTGGGGGATGGGAGGGCACTTGTCGCGATGAGCCCTGGGTATTGTAGGTAAGTGAGGAATCACTAAATTCCTCTCCTGAAACCCATTTTACCCTATGTGTTGACTAACTAGAATTTAAATAAAAACTTGGAATAAACAGATTTAAAAAAATAAAAAATAAAGTAAAAGAAACAAAGGCTAAGTCAGCATTAAGTGTCTCGGCCCTTTTTGGAGGGAGCACTCAGAGAGCAAGCGGGCCGTGACTCCACACTGAAGAAGCCTGGATACGTCTGATTGTCCCAAAGCCCGTCTTCCAGGCCCCATCCCAGGATGCACAGACCGCCCAGTCCGGCCGGCAGCGCCCGGCCTTGGCCCACAGGCTGCCTTCCTGTGAGGCAGCTCCTCTGCCCGTAGCCCGTGTTGTCCCCAGGTCAGGGTCAGGGTCAGGCGGACTGGCTCTCAAAGCCTCGGGGAAGTCATGGAGGCCACGGCTACGCAGCAGGGAGGGGCTTTGCCCCGGGCGGCTCCCCAGGAGAACGCGCCTCCTGGAACAGCCCTGCAAGCAGCTCCCAGCCTTCCGACCGGTCCGGAAACTGCCGCTTGGACGCCACCCGGCCGCCGCCCCACATCACAGGGACAGGTACCGCCCAGGGAGCCCAGACACAATCTCACGCCTGTTCGAGCAGCGCTTAAGGATCCGCCGTGTCCGAGCGTGGAGCCGAGTGAGAAGCGCCCCGTGCAGTCCCCGCCCAGCCCTGCGGTCTGCCCCTCAGGGGCCGCTGCTCAGGTGGGGGCACCTCGGGGGGCTCACCGGTGGGAGGCCGAGATCGCCCGAGCTTCCCGGAGACGCTTGTCTTCAGGGCCTGCATGGAAGCTTCCATGATCTCGGCCGCTCGGGCGATGGCTCGGCTGGTTGGCTCAGGGAGTTTGGAAAAAGACAGAAGCTGTGATGGACGAGGGATCTCTCTTTTGCTGAGGTCCCTGCGGCAAAGAGGAGACACAAAGCGGGTTATTCGTTTATGGCTGCTTTCAAAGTAATCACTACGCAATTCAGCAGAGCACATGCCAGGGACCAGCACCGTGCGGGTTCGGGGTGGGCGTATCCGGAGGCCGTTCACCAGGACCGCCGTAGAGGGACAGGACTTGGGGCAGATAAACCTTCTTATCAAAATCCAGTTATGGGGCGCCTGGGTGGCTCAGTCGTTAAGCGTCTGCCTTCAGCTCGGGTCATGATCCCAGGGTCCTGGGTTTGAGCCCCGCATCGGGCTCCCTGCTCCGTGGGAAGCCTGCTTCTCCCTCTCCCACTCCCCCTGCTTGTGTTCCCTCTCTCGCTATCTCTCTCTCTGTCAAATAAATAAATAAAATCTTAAAAAAAAAAAAAAATCCAGTTAGACGCCTTTGCTGTGTTCCAGCCAGTGAGAGAGGGGCCCTGAGTGCGTGCAGCCCTGGTGGGCTCCTGGGGCCAGCAGGTGCTTGCAGGCCGGCCCGTCCCCTCCAGTCAGAGAATCAACCCCCACAGGGTGGAACAGGGCAACAGAACCATTTGTGGGGGGACAGGAAGCACCGTGCCCTGTCCCCAGCACCCTGAGTCCCCGGCCTCTCACATTCCAACAGCTCCAGCCCCGGGGGATCTGTCCAGCCCCCTGCCCACAGCATTTTGGGGCCAGCGACCCAGGGGGCAGGGGCCCCGAGCCGGCTTCTACCTGGGCGGCACCTGCAGAGTGGAGCCCCGTGGCCCCAGGTAGAGCCAGCAGCTGGAGGGAAGCCCCTCCAGCTGCCCTGGGATCTACGGCTCCTGACGCTGCAGCAGCAGGCGAGCTCCGCTTCCAGTGGTCCCACCGGCTGAGAGCCAGCCGGCCACCGAAGCTTTCCATGTGTTAGTGATAAGCCCAAACGTGCAGGCTCCCTGAGCAAACCAGGGTGGCAGGTGCTGTGCCGAGCACTACTCATACCTCAGGCTATTACTTCTGAAAACCTCGGGTGGTAAATGCCGTAATTAGCCCCATTTTCCAAAACTCGCTCACTGAGAGTCAGGCAGCTGGCATCAGGTGGACGGCCAGTGACAGAGGCAATACTGAAACACAAGAACTGCGAGCGTCCACGGCAGATACTTTAGAGAAAATCTGACGTCCCTATGAATGTGCATGATCTATAAAAACACGGTATGTGAGGCCTGCCTGTGTGTTTATAACACCATGTCGTCATGAACACCAGCCTGCAGAGCTTCACGGGACCCGGCCCCAGACATGAGACCCCGGCCCCAGCCACAGGACCCTGGCCCAGACACAGGACGCCAGCCCCATTCACGGGACCCTGGCCCCAGACACGGGACCCGGCCCCAGACACAGGACCCCGGCCCCATTCACGGGACCCTGGCCCCAGACACGGGACCCGGCCCCAGACACAAGACCCCGGCCCCAGCCACAGGACCCTGGCCCAGACACAGGACGCCAGCCCCGTTCACGGGACCCTGGCCCCAGACACGAGACCCGGCCCCAGACACAGGACCCCGGCCCCATTCACGGGACCCTGGCCCCAGACACGGGACCCGGCCCCAGACACAAGACCCCGGCCCCAGCCACAGGACCCTGGCCCAGACACAGGACGCCAGCCCCATTCATGGGACCCCGGCCCCAGACGTGGGACACCGGCCCCACACAAGGGGCCGCAACCCCATTCATGGGACCCTGGCCCCAGACACAAGACCCCGGCCCCAGACACAGGACGCCAGCCCCATTCATAGGACCCTGGCCTCAGACATGAGACCCCAGCCACCGCAGTGCCAGTTCTGGCCTTGAGACTCTGGGGGAGATAGGACAGCCCCCCAAAGATGTCCAGGTTGGACCCCTCAGAGCCTGTGAACAGGCCTGGCTGCTTAGCAAAGGGGATTATGTTGCGGATAGAACTGGGATTGCTAATCAGCTGAGGATAAATGGGGCTCTTCCCCTGGGTTATCCAGAAGGCCACACAACCACCAGGTCCTTACGAGGGGAGGAGGAAGACAGGGGGCGGGGAGGAGAAGTGGTCAGAGATTCCATCGCCCCCCAAAGACAGAGGAAGGACCAGCTGGGGAACATGGGAGCCTCTAGAGCCAGGAAGGTGAGGAAAGGAAGGTTTCCCGGCTCTCAGAAGGACTGGCGTCCCGCAGACTCCTGGACTCTGGCCCACGGAGGTCCATGCTGGACTGGGACCCACAGGATGGTGTGACCGTCCATGCGTGCTGGATTAAGCCGCTGGGTTTGGGGCAACGTGCTCCAGCAGCCCTCGGAGGCCAGTGCCCCTCTCCTCATGGAGGCCCTGGGCCACGTGCGGCGGCCTCGGACCCTCGGCCGGGGGACCCCTGTAGCACACGGGCCGCAGACCTGACCCGCACCCCAGGCGCCCCCCGCTGTTACATCGACAGGGAGCAAACTTTCCCCTTTGTGCAGGGAGGCGCCCTATCTTCCAAGGCTACCCGCTTGGCAAACGTCCCTGGAAAGGCAGGCAGTGACCTTCTCACCGTGTTTACAAGCAAACCAGCGAGCTGGTGAGCAGAACCTTCTAGGGGCCCAGACTCACTGCAGCCGGTCCCCAGGCCACAGACCGGGGTGCCGATGTCCCAGCACGAAGCACTGAGACAAAGCCCACAGCCACAGACCTCGTGAACACGGTCACGTGAGGGGCCACGTCCCCATGGTTGCAGGCGGACTTAGAAAGGCTGCTTCAGGGAAGGGCCTAGGCCAGTTCTTCTCTTCAGGACGGAGCCCGCATGGGCAGCCGTACCCCCTTGGGAGTCTGCAGTGGCCATGCTCCCACCTCCTTATTTTGCCCCAATTACCCCATTTCTTTGTCCTCAGAGTTCAATGGCAGAAGGAGACTCAGGCCAGCCTCAACTCGCTGGCAGACCCGTGGACGAGACAGCCGGATCGAGGCCCTGAGATGGAGGACACCTTCCCCTTGGCCAAGGGCAGAGGTCAGTTCAGAACCCAGGGTGAAGCCCTTGGCCTCCTGAGGTAGACCCCAAAGGATCTGGTTTGTGCAGCTGGGAGGACGCCACAAGCAGGGCCTGTCTGCCTCCCCCTGCAGCCCGGAGTGCTGGGGGCAGCCGCTGAACCCAGTGAACGGGATGTGGGATAAACGGATGTGGTCCCAGCCCTGCCGGTCAGATCCACCGGAGCGGTCACTGGAGGGTGAAAGGGTCCCCTTGAAAAAGTTTGCAAGATGCCAGGGTGGTGTACACATGGGGGTCGGATATTGTTGGGGGACAGTCTCCCTAGCTCTGGGTTATTTCTCGACACTTTGTGAGGCCAAGGGCACTGTCTTTGTTTTCGTCCACCTTTACCAGGATGCCTAGAAAACGGGCAGCTTTGAGAGGTGCCTGGCAGGCTCAGTCAGCAACGCACCCACTCTTGGTGTCGGGGTCCTGAGTTCAAGCCCCACACTGGGCGTGGATGCTACTGAAAAAGGGGGGCAGCCTTGGAAGGCAGAGGTGGTGTCTTCCTCCGCAAAACAGCCCTACGGACCGTATAACATGACACCACCCTCTCCAGGGCAAAAGGCGGGCACGCGGACCCTCCCCTACGGAGGTGTGGCTTCTGCACCCCATGGCCAGTGTGCCCAGTGGCGAGTCTGGGAAGGGGCGGGAGCTTTAGAAGATCAGAGACACTGGAGTAGGAGGACTTGCAGTTGGAAGTTGGAAAGGACTGTGAGAGAAGGAGCTGAGAGCAAGGGCGTGTGTGACGCACCCACCTCGATCCCAGAAGAGAACGAACCCCCGGCGGCCGGAGGGCCCCACGCACAGCCCGCCACGCCCAGCATTGTACGCCCACAGGAAGGCTCCCAGGCAAGTGAGTAAAGGATGTGTCAGTTGTGAAAACGAAGTGTGGGTCCATGAGCGCAGGGCCGGGTGATGCCCGCGGGGCGACCCGGCATCTGGGGAAGGGCGTGCACTGCTCTGCGGACCCAGTCTCGGGCACACAGACGCAGCAGCTCCAGCTTCGATGACCACGTGGGGGACACCACCGTCCCTAGCGAGAGCTTATAGAAGTGTTAGCCAGCCGCCAACGAAATAAGCTTGGAGGATAAAACCTGCTCTTTACTGTTCGTTTTGTTTGCTTTACAAATATCTCATGTGAGACCACAATGTGCTCAATACTGATGTCAATTACATATGTAAAATCAAGGCGTTTCTTAATGACTTAAACCTGAATGATGGGTAGACTTAATCCTGCACGGAGGGCCCCATGTGACATGGCGTCCTTCAGCCCAGCCCCCTCTCTGGTCTCAGCTCCTCCCTACTGCCCCCCGGCCAGGAGCCCCCTGCTGCCGGGATCCCCGCGTGCTACCGGGACCCCTGCCTGATGCCAGGACCCCTGTCTGCTGCCAAGACCCCCACGTGCCGCCAGGACCCCCATGTGCCCCCGGGACCCCCGCCCACCACCAGGACCCCCGCCCGCCGCCAGGACCCCTGCCCGACGTCAGGACCCCTGCCTGTTGCCAGGACCCCCGTGTGCTGCAGGGACCCCCGCCTGCCACCGGGACTGCAGTACTGAGTCCCGGTGAGATCACCATGCTTTGCTCTGGGGTTTGCTAGACAGAATTTGAGACTGAACATCGGTTCTTTCAGGATCTTGCCCATGAAGCCAGGAAAGAGAATGAACGCACATGAGGTCAAGTGGAGATTTTGGACCACTGGTGAAAAGTACACGGGGCAGCCCCGTCCCCTAGTGGCCTGCCCCCTGTCCCTCCACAGAAAGCCTACCTCTTCATGGTGTGGTAGATGGCACCGTCCACCATGCGCCTGCTCGCTTCCACGATGCTGATGACAGCAGAGTCTCTGTTCCGTCCTGTGGAACAACATACGGCACAATGACGCAGATTCATGCGCAGCCACCCTCTGCCACGTTCAGTGGACGTCCACCGCATCCAGCATGAGGCAGCCACGAGCCCATGGCTCCTGGCCAGGTCCCCAGCTCACAGTGGGCATGAGCTCCCCCTGCAGAGTTGCTCCTGGAGTGCGAGGAGCGCGCGGACCCTCACGCTCGCACCGCCTCCAAGTGTCGTCGGCCACTCTTGCTTCCCGCTTGCCAGACCACCTCTGGTTAGTCCAGAGAACCCTGAGTACTTTGTTCCCTAACAAAGAGGCGCAGGAAGTTCATATTTCCCTATTTTAAGTTGCGCACCGGACAAAAGATAAATTACTTAAACATGCCAGCACTTTGCAGTGACAAGACTAGCATTTTCTTTTACTTTGTACTTGAAAAGTTTAACAAGTCCTATGCTCTGAGTCCATGGCCCCTCAAAATGCGTATATTGAAGCCTCACCCCCCGCGTGACAATGTGAGGACAGTCACAAGTGGAGCCCCTGCAGTGGGATCAGTAAGACACGGCCGAGAGCCCCAGCCAGCGGGGACGCAGCCGGATGCATGTCCCCGCAGCCTCACCAGACCCCAAATGTGCCAGCTCCTCGATCTGGACCTGCAGCCTCTGGAGCATGAGGAATGCATGTCTCCTGTTTATACGCCACCCAGTTGGTGGTAGCTTGTTATAGCAACCCAGACTAAAAAAATAACGTGAGATTCCATCTCTGGGTTGAAATGTGAGGTTCCACATGAATAACGTAGAGTAGCCAAGTTCTTCGAGTGACACACACAAGTAGCTTCTGTTACTAATGTATCTTTTGCATAATCAATACTTTATCAAAGGAAATGCATTTATTTGTAAAAATAAATAATCAGAATGTTTTCGAGCATATACACCTTTATAGAAATTAAACTGTTTTTAGAACGGTAAATGTCTATATTTAGGATGAAGTGGGCACAGCATATCCCAGAAAATCCGTTAAAGTAGTGAGTACGCTTGGCAGGTGTCCTTGTCTGAAAACTTCACTAATGATTTTGTTGCAGGAAGAAGTAAGAGCCTCTGAACTGTGAGGAGCATCTGAAGATCCTGAGACAGCAGGTGCCGAGGGCAGAGACCCCAGCAGACTCGGGGGTCCACCGGGGCAGAACCCAGCACAAGCACCTGCACGCACCCTCTCCACTGCCCCTCCTGTCCTCCCCAGTCTACTCTGAGTGTGTTGTAAGAAAGACACAATTCCATGTGGATTGTCCCTGGGATTCTGGGAGAAGTGATTAGCCACCAAGTGCTGGGTGACCCTCCGTCCGCAAGGGTCTGGGGAGCACACCGTGGGGCAGGGGCCGCTCTGCCAGGGCCCAGGCCTGCGAGCTCAGGGGGGCTCGCTGTGGAATGTGAACAAGGGACCAGCAGGTGGGCCCAAGGAGGCAGAAACCCCCAGAACAGGCAGGGGCTCCAAGGACCAAGCTGGGCTTGCGGAGTCGCTCTCGGACCTGCGGGGACAGGGGAGACCCCACAAAAGCAGGGGTACCGTGCATCTGTGATTCCAAACCCACTGCACAGCCCTCATGGCTCGTGTTTTCATCCCCAAAGCCAGCATGGCCCCTCACTTCCCGGATGTAACAGTCGCCCTGCTCATTGACCCTGTGCCCAGTGGTGACATGGAGGGGCTCTGGAGCCAGGCCGCCTTGGAGCCTGGTCTGAAACTGGCCCCCAGGCCCAGTGTGTCACTTCTGATCACCCTGAGGGTTATTTTGAGGGTGAAACAGGTGATTTGTGAAGCTCTCCGCAGAGGGCCCCACAAACCCAAGCGTTTGCAGGAGGTGGCTCTTCTGCTCTCATCCCCAGTGCTCTCAGCCGCCGTGAGTGGCCCTCTGCTCTCCCTATTCCAGACAGCCAGCCCTGCCACGGGGTTCGGGATGTGGGCTCAGGCCCACAGGACGCTGGTCCCCAGCCTCAGGCCGGCACCTGAGCTTTCGGCCAAAGGCTACACCAGGGAGGTTCCGAGGACCTCCTCCTCTTCTCCCTTAATTTGCGAGAGTGGCTCACGGAGCCCAGGGAAACACTTCCATTGATCAGTTTACTCAGGATGCAAATCAACAGCCTGAAGGAGAGATGTGCAGGGTCAGGCCCACAGCAAACAAGCATCTCTCCCTGGGACGTGTGGGGCCAGCTCGGTGGCATGTGGGAACGTTCGGGGTCCCCAACCCAGCAGCTCTCCGAACCCAGTGCTTCTGAGGTTTTATGGAGGCTTCATTTCGGAGACACAGTAGACAAGTCCCTGGGCATTGGCGCCTGATTCACCCTCCAGCCCCTCCCCTTGCCCAGAGGCAGGGTTGGGGGCCCGGAAAATTCCAACCCCCTGATCACAGGGTTGGTGCTCTTGGCCACAAGCCTCCATCCTTGGGTGACCTGAGGGCTTTCCAAAGTCTCCTTATTAACATAACAAATGTATCTTTATACCAGCCATGGGGGGAGGGGGGGCTAGTGTTTAGGGACCTGTGAGCAAGAAAAGGGGAGAAATTCATTCTGGTGTCCAAAGGACTCAGTGTGTTCCTATAAATCCCCACAGCGTGGACGGTGACGGCTCGGTTCTGTCCTGCCTGGGACGGCTTGCCCTTCCTTCACAGACCCTGCAGCCCCTCTTCCTCCTTAGCTCCTTCCTCCAGGGCTGGTCAGCCTCTCACGGCGGCACAGTCAGCATCACAGACCTCGCGACCTGAACCTGCCCCCTTCTTTTCAGCTCTGAACACTGACTTCTAGAGAGTTCCATGACTTGTCCCATCTGAAGACACCTGCCTTCTGAAGGCGGTCCTGGTCCCCCCCAAAGAAAGTTCTCCTCGGGACATAATCATCTCACATGTTGGAGGCCTGGAGTCTGGGAAGCTGTTATGCAAGTGAACGTCATACTTCAGCAAGAAGCAGCAAGTCAACTGTTTCCAAAGAGTGCTTGTTAAAAACAGTTAAAAACAAGAACGCCAAAATCTTCCTCTTCTGAAGCCGTAAATGGTGCAGGCCCCCGACTGTCACCGCTGACTGACTCTGAGGAGCTGGTTTTGCTCAGAGATCTGCGTTTGGATCCTGACGTAACTAATCCCTGTTTGCTGAAACCCAAGCAACTGGAATAAAGTTTGCCAACTTTCCTTGTTAAGTGCGTCCCCTCATTAGGCTGGTTCCTAAGTTCCCAGATCTGCAGGAGGGGCCTCTGCTTCCTGCAGTCCGTGTGCACCTTATTTTCCGTAGCAGCTGTAACTTGGGGGAACGTCGGCCGTAAGGATGCTTGTGCATCAATCTTGACTTTGCACGGAGGACACGCATCCCCCTCTGTGTTGACCAACACATGACTTCCGTGAGGACATCCTCGGGCTCTGCAGAAGGGACCCGCCCTTTCTTTCTTAGACCCACAGGGCCATGCATGCATTTCTGAGCTGAGCCCTCCTGGAATCCCACTCTGGGGCTTTTCCTGAGCTAGACTTGAGCAGCATGTACGTGCAAGGGTGCCCTGGCCTCGCTCCTGTCCCCCAGATGGCTACAGGCCACAGCCTGACCCTCAGGTGTGCATGTCCAGGACCTACGTGTGTCCTTGACCATGTATCAGCCGGTCTCCAGTCCTGGGTGTGGGGCTTCATGGAAGGACCCGGAAGGACAGGGAGCTTGGACACAGCAGTACCTCGGGCCTCTGGGGCCCTCCTGGGGCTGTGAGTAGACTGGACGCGCAGGGGAGAGGTGCCCAGAAGTGAGCCCACAGGCAGCTTCACCTCCAGGCTGCCGGCTCCACGAAGACCCCAGTCCTGTGATAAGAACGCAAACCCACGAAAACGCACAGCAGTATCAGGAGTTAAATTGGCGACAGTGAAATGTGCGCAATAACAATGATCTTTCAAAGAAGCTTCACCAGTGAAAGCTGCCGTTAGCTCGTTGTCAACTGGGAAAAACAGTCTCTTCTATTAATGAATGTAAAATCGAACACGATCAGAGAAATATTTTCTAAATAAGTAATTTGTAAAGTAAACGATTAATAAGCCAGCCTCAAAATACTCCAATTAACAGTTAAATACCCCCGACGTGCAGCATTCTGATCGGATGTTGCACTGCATGTGATTTATATACTTCGTCCAAGCTACAGCAAAGAGAAAATTAAACTCTCCGAGACGGGGCAATAATAAACGTTTCTGTATGAAAGCTGCAGGTATCACACGTCAGAGCTAATGGGGTGCTGCCGGTAGGCCTGCTGCTCTGGAGGTCGGCTGATGCACAACTTGCTCACGATCAGCCACAGGACTCCCAACTTTTGTTACCGTGGTTTTGTGGCTCTAGGCCCTTAATAAGTATGACATAAAAGGGCAAATCAATTAATTCACAAGCCACTTGTGAACACCATGGCGTGCGGGGCCTTGGGACGACTGGCTCACGTGGGCGAGATGAGATCGCCTTCCCCGCGGTGGGCTGAAAAGTGCGTCTGATTTGTGTCCTGGTGTCCTCCAGACGCAGCATGCCTGTCACAGTGCAGCACGTCAGGGGGTCCCCGTGACGGATGATTTCCCGGTTTCCTGCGTGCGGTAGGTGTGCGAGGGAAGGGGCGCGGGCAGACCCGCATTCTCTGAGCCCAGCGCTTGCCTCCAGCTTCCTGCCACCTGGGATGGGCTGGGTGCTTTCTTAGGGGCACAGGCGTCTGTGAAGGACATGGGTGAAACTTTCCATGTGGTCACGGAGCCCCAACTTCAGTGGGATTGGGGAAAGTGGGACTCCACATGTGTGTCCTCTTTGCAAAGTCGAGGTGGGGCAGGGGCTGTCAGCACGAGGGTCCTCCCACTCCCGAGGAAGGAGTGAGGGCCCGGGTCCGCAGAAGCCCCGCCAGGCTGCGGGCAGGCAGGAGCCTGCTGGGGACCGTCTGCGTCCCCGGGGCTGGCAGCCGGACGCACCTCCGACATTCTGCTCCAGTCAAAGCCCTTCAAGGTGTTTGGTGCCTTTTCTTTTTCTTTTTTAGCCAAACAAAAGCAGAGTTTGAGCTGTGATCATTTTAACCATCCCAACCCTTTCTCAACCCCACCTGACACTGCAGCACTCTGGTTCCAGCACACACGTCACTCACAGAAAATGACTTTAGAGCAAAGGAATAAGCAATTTCTCCCAAAGACATTTTTCCCCCCAAATATTCAAGCAGGTAAAATGGAGAGTCTCATTAATAGTCAGAGGACATGAGTTGTTCTTCAGACAGGATTGTGTTTCGATCCTTCCACCCTCCAGAATCCCTGCTCCCTTCTCAGACCTGCGGGAGGAAACAGGGAAGGATCGGGTCTCCTCTGACTCTCAGGAGCCGCCTCGCTGCTCTCTGTCTCGGTGCCTGTGGACTGTGGCTTCATGAGGTCAAAGATGGTATTTGTCACTCACCCCACAGGAGGTCCTTGCCTCTCAGGAGGAAGGGGAAGAAGCTGTGTGTGCAGGCCGCCACCAGTGTGACGCCCAGGACCGCGAGCGCTCTCATTCTAACGGTGGAACCGGCCAAGAACATGCGGGCCATCAGGGCAACGTCCACGGAGCTGCTTTTCCGGGGACTTGTTAGCTGGACACTGTCATCTGGCTCTTCACTAAGTCTCAGCACCGCCAACGGCGTCCACCAGCTTGGGTCTGAAGCCTGGAAGACTCTGACTTGCCTCCCGGACAGAGAGTCCAGCAGCGCTGGGCTGTAGCTGCCGCCCTATAAACCCTCCCTGTGCTTCGGTGTCCACTCGAGCGTCAGGAGCCGGGGCGGCGCCCATCTCCTTGGGTTTGCGCCAGGTTTCCGTGAGCCGTCACAAGCAAGCAGGTTCTCGTGAGGCGGAGCCCTGGCCCCCAGCTAGAAAGAAGGAGAAGGAGGTGTGCGTGTTGAGGAAGAAAAAGCCAGCTACAGTCACCCCTCGTGATGCTGGCCTTCTCTTCTGGAAAAGGACCTCGACCTTCCGAGGCCGCCCAACCCCGTGCTGGTCAGGTGGGCCACTGAGGCCGGGCAGCTGTGGTCCATTACTGCCTCCTGCCTAGACGGTGAACGGGTGCTTCTCCCGGCATTGGGTGAGCAAGGAAACCCTGTGTAGGAAGCAGGGCTCCCCACTCTGACCCCGGGCGGACCTGCACCACGAGTCTGAGAGGGGCCCATGGCTCTCTTCAGAAGTTGAGGGAGGAAGGGTTTCCGAGGTTGGCCTCTTCAGAGACTGCGCACCTCAGACGCAATGTGGTCAGCCTAGCACGCGTCCACAGTGGTTCTCTCCGGCTAACGATGACACGGTTGCCAAGCCTTCCGTCCTGGTTGTCTTAAGGGAGACGTAGACTCTGTGTCCCATCCAAGTCTCTCGGGTTTCTACTACATGAAAATGATCTTTCTCCTTCTCTCCCTTCTTCTCTTCTCCAGGATTTACTCACGCAGGACTGTATCTTCTCCAGGGGAGCCAAGATCGAGTTCTGAAACCATTAGGCAAAGTCACCTGGAGATTAGCGCATCAGGAGTTTTCAGCATAAGAATGCCATGATCAGCACGACAGAGACCCCAGAGGTCTAGGACCATCAGAGTCTTGTGAGAGGAACAACCAGATGCACCTCTTTAGAAGGAGAGTCCTGGGCTTGCTGGGCAGAGCAGGGAGGCCAGCCGTGCTCAGCCTGCTGGACTGATTCATGGCAATCCCCTTGCTGCCTCTGGGAGGCCGGGGAAGGAGACGGGCAGGAACTGCAGAGGACTTGTTCAGGGTTGGACGCTGAATTTGAGGTATAGAACGCACACATAGGCAGCGAGCTGGTAGGGTTTGCAAATACGCCGTTGGAGCTTGGGCTGGAGTCTGTGTGGAAGGATACACGTGGGAGCGGTGTCCGTGGATCTGCAGCTGGATGTGGTAACATGTCGTCCCGTGAGAGAATGTGGATCAGAAAGACAGGCTTTCCCAGTAGAAGGCTCTGGGCACCAGTGCCTCGAGGGGCGTGGTGGGCTGCAATCCAGCAACATCACGTCTGAATCCTGGGACCCGGGACTCTACAGACATGATTAGATGGTGAGGTGCAATCGCAGGATCCTTATGGGACGGAGGCAGGAAAGTCTTGCGGGGGGGGCAAGAGAGGGGAGGGATGTGACCAGAAGCCAGGGAACACAGGTGCCCCAGAAGCTGGAAAGAGCAGGGGACAGACTCTCCCCTGGAGCCCCAGAAGTAACCAGCCCTGTGGCACCTTGATTTTATTCCCTGAAGGCTCCCTTTGGGCTCAGGACCTACAGAACGATAGAGAATAGGTTTGTGTTGTTGGAAGCCATGATGTCCATGGGAATTTGTGGCAGCCCAGCCCAGGAGACGAGCATGGGTGCAGGAAGTGTGTGGGGACAGTGGTGTTCGGGTATTCAAGGGGCATGAGGAAGCTGGCATTCAGAACCTGAGCAAGAACGCCCACTAGATCACAAGGTGTCCTTCCATCTGTCACAGCGACAGCAGAAAACCCCGTGTTGATGGGGACATAGGGAAAAGGGACACAGCGTCCATGGGAGGCTCAGTCTAGACAGCAATTCTGTAGCATTTCTTTTAAGATGCCCTAGTCTTTTGACCCAACATCAAATTGCAGAAATAATCTACCATCTAGAAATGTGCATATTTAGCTATGCTACTTGCTGAGTTTCTTCCAAGATTAACTGAACACAATGAAGAGTGCGCCCAGAGAGCAAGGAAGACAATCACATAGAACAGGTCGAGAGATGCGAGGAGCAAAGACCCAGAATGACAACACATCGGTTTCTCAGAGACTTTGGCAGGGGGGTTTCCCGGGATGGAGCCTCAGAGAAGACACAAGGATGCAGCCGGCCAGGAGTGGGAGGGTAGGACGGGCAGTCCAGGCCCTGCGGGAAAGACCAGAGCTCTCCAAGGAGCAGCCTGCAAGCATCACAGGCTCGGCTAGCACTGAGCTAGCAGCCCCGGGGAGCACAGGGAGAGGGGGATGGATGCCAGGCAATAGGCTCAGAGAGAAGGAGGACGGTCGGAGGAACGTGATGGGAAAGAATAGACTTCCTCTCCCCATAAGGAAAAAACAGACAAGAAGTTCCGAGGGAGACAAGGAAATTCCTGGAGGAACGTGATGTAGATTCGGGGAAGTGGTGGGGGGTAATAGCAAGGATGAGTGATGAGTGACCCCGTCCTGGGATCCCACACCCATAACGAAAATCAGACCAGCATCACCTGTGACACATCATCGGGTCTAGGAGCCAATTCTTGGATGGCTAGAACAGTAAGATGCTTTGGTCGGTGTTGAGCTGTCTTTCCAAGTGGAGCCCTGAAGTGCCAGGGAGGAGCGTGGGTCTGGGGGTCCCTGGAAGGTCCGGGCAAGCCCGCTGTGACAGGAATCACCCCCGTCCTTTCCTGGCTCCCAGAGGACGCCCCTTCCCCGGGGCCAGTCTCCTCCATTTGGGGGGATTCCGCGGGGATTCTACGGCAGCCAGAGACACTCAGACCAGGAAAGTTATTTAGGGGAGATGAACCATGAGAGACGATGGACTCTGAGAAACAAACTGAGGGTTCTAGAGGGGACGGGTGGGGGGG